TTGAAGGCTTTTAGACCCCCCAAGAGGTAAAAAACGACAAAAAAAACAACCCAAGTTTCATCGAACGAATCGGATTTAAAGGGCAGTGGATCCAGGACCAGACGGAGGAAAACGAGGCGTGAAACCACCCTCCCAGACGAGTGTGTTCGTGGCTAAAGCCGCTCCCATTTCTGCTCAGAAACCCGCTCAGAAAGGTCAGAGGTCGGCCCTGAGAATGAGACAGAAAGCCACGCGTTTTTACGTCGAACCAGTTTATCCCATTTCCTCACACTTTTACATCCGAAATTTAATTTATTGCATCATAAACGTTTTTACACTCCGTGTTTTTAGACTCCGAAGATCATAAATTTGAAATAGTGGGACATTGTTTTTAGCTTAGAAGGACTTCTGAGTGGTTTAAAGAAGCTTATAGTCTAACTGAACTGAATCATTCAGCTTTCTATTTCACTAATTTAATCATTTTTACTTATATTTTAGCAATATTACTGCTTAGCTTCATGATATTTTCCACTTTAAATCATTAGAGCATTGAATCTTTTTCATCTGATGTGAGCTCCACTCACCATTTTTCTTATTATCATACCAGGTTTTATCCAGGAAATCATCAGATTTGATATGTTGATCATGTTGATATCTTCTCTTAAGCCTTAAATCCTCTTTCTCAGTATCCCAAAACTGCAAAACGCAAAGGAAATTTACTTTAAAATGTGAGATTTAAGTGTTTGAAATCATGTTTTTTTTGGAGAAATGGGAAACCGATAACACAGTTCCTGCTTTTCTCTGACTGACATAACAAAATGAACACTAGTAGTCTCTTTCTCATTTGATAGGATTATATAAAAGGCCCAGGAATTCCTTTTAAAATCACTGTGTTAATTTAAAAAGATGACAAAGCACTAAGTGTGCACGCACCAGAATCACCAGCAGAAGAAAGACGTCAAACAGGATGCAGATTGACGTTGCATTATTTATTCATCCAGTCAGTATTAAGTCTCGCAGTTTTAACTGCAGAGTATAAATCACCACCTTTAAAGCTTCTAACTGAATTCAAAAAGTTGGCCAGAGCTCATTTAAAGCGGGTCTGATTTGCACTTCCTGTTCCTGATCGGCTGTTTCTGAGGGATGACCCATATGAATCAGCTCAAATGGGTAGAAATAAAGTTGTTCCTCATCAAAATGAGAAATCAGAACATTTCAGATGTCTCAGACAACGTTCCTGCAGAGACAATGACCAGAATGTTTATTTTAAAGAGAAGGAATATAATTCTAGACATCTGAAATGACCATTTTAGAAATGAGACCCTTACAAAGGATGTCTGAAATGTAGACACACATTAATTAAAGCTTTGCAGAGGTCCCGCATTAATTTCTTACTTGTACATAATGAATTAGACATCTTAAGACCAGTTTGT